TCGTAACAAAAAAAAGATAGAAACAATTAATTAATATTTAGTATTAAAATGTATTAGTAATAGAATTTAAAAGCCTTGAAATTGAAATATCGTTTAAGAAAAAAGAATTACGTATTCATGTTTAGCATTACCACTGACAGTGATATTTCTTCAATATTTGATAAGTTAGGTTAGTCTGCTTTTTGTTTCTTTCAACTTCTGCTCGTAAACTAAGAGAGTTTAACGAGGTTTAACTTTTTCCAATTTTTATTTTTGTTCTACTTCTTTTTCTAGTGCTTGTCTTCTTATTTTTTTAAAAAAGAAACATATTTTATACTAATGCTGTTTCCATAACAGTGCACGTTTTAATCTATGATTTATAATTTTTCAGCAACGAAATTTCGGTACTGTGTTCGAATCTCCGAGTCGCAGAAAGCCGGAAAACGGGATTGTTTGCAAATCCCTCGGTAAAAATTTAAAAAAGGAGGCCAGAAACTATGTATTTATGCAAATCATGAGAAAAATAATAAGAATCAAATAAATTTACTTGTTGACTATTTCTAAAAAGGTAATCTAAACATTTGAACGGAAGAAAAACCAATCAGAAAAGTAACAGAGCGTTGTTTCAATGCACCGCTAATGACAACTTTATTTCAATTTTATTTCTAAAATTTGTCTCAACAAATCAACTCAAACTACTTAGTGAAGAAAACATTTTATATAAATCTGAAAACTTTGTTTGGGGCGAAATGAAATTTGATGCCAATACAATTCAATATTGTAAAAAAATTTATAAATCTCAACAAACAGGTACTACTTGTAAAAGAGAGCATTTTTGTATGAGAAGAAGAAAGAAAAAGACGAACTAGCACAAATTTACCCTCTTGAATGAAAATACAGTTTATTTCACCTCAATTTTATTTCTGAAATTTTTCTCAACAGATCAACAGAATTGCTTGATAAAGGGAAAAACAAAAATAAATTATTTATAATTAACCTTTTTCAACGAACTTCACGTTAATTTTTAAAATTTATTTTAACAAATACAAAGAAACTATTTAGTAAAGATAGTGCGGTACTAATATGATAAACAAAATGAAAAATTAAATTAATGTGACGTCAGTCATTTCCCAGTTGAACAGCATTGGGCGTTACATACTTTAATTTCATTATTTTGAACCTTGGACGTCCTTGAGTAATGCCATACACCAAGAATGCTTTTTATTCGAGATCTTATAATACCATAAACATACGCCCCAGGTCGTTGCCAACATGACGCCACTAATAATAATGGATGACTTTTAGAAGTCTGTGCCGATGGGCAACAATGAATTCACCTGTCTGTGACCCTCGAACCCGAATGAAAACCCTTCGATAAATAACTGCTGAGAGAAAGTCAACTGGAAACCTGTTTGTATATTACGAATAAAACGATTTTTTTTTTTTAATTCCTTTCACTTTCATGGAAAGAATTGTTTTAACCTCTTGTTACATGAGTCAATATTCAATTGGTCATGCACTCAAGTGACAAATATGTAAAGCAACTTTGAGGAAAAAGTTTATAAAAAAGCGATTTATTTATTTCATTTATATATATATATATAGCACAATAAAAACAAAGAGAAAAACGAAGAAAATTAATAAGTTTTATTAACTGCGCATAAGCTACAAGTATATAGAACTCANTGAACTTACTTTTTACTCAAATACTCAATGAAATTTCCAATCACATTAAAGGATAGAATTATTTACTTCTCAAATCATAACTTCAAAATTGAAGTTACATTTATAATATATATATTGAATTAAATTAAACTCGGTAAGCCTTTGTTCAAATGAAGACAGAATCGGCTTTATTTCATCGAATATAAATGATAGTATGTTACCTGATTAAGAACGTCATTCACTTCAAAAATATATAAATTAAAAATAACTGTCGATATATTTCAAGCGCTCAAAGAGAGACTCCTATTTTCAAGACTTACCTGACCTAAATGAGAAGAAGCAAAAAATAATTTGAAATATAAAACATAAAGTCGCTGATGAAAGATGAAAAAAAAAATAAAGGTGAGAAATTAAACTCGAAAACCACAGTAGCCGAGAGAGAGAGAAAAAAAGATGAAAAATAGAACAGGAAAAGCACAGTGGCCGAGAGAAGCAAATCAGAGTAAATGCTATGGTGAGGTAATGAGGAACTAATGCCGTTAACAAGGGAATCAGCATTCATATGAATAAAACAAAATTCCAGGGCATCAAGCTGAGCTAAAGTGACTGAACGGGAAATAAGGCTGGCATTGTCGAAATTGAATTTATTCCCAAGATTCCAACAATGTGCAGCAAGTGATGATTTCTCGTATTTTTGATAACGGACGTATCTATCGTGTTGATTAAGACTAAATTTTAAAGTGCGCCTAATTTGTCCGCTGTAGCTAAGGTTGCACTGACAAGGAGTGCCCTAAAGATTATCAAAGGACTTTTAAAAGATGAACAGGCCTAAAAAGACTTTAAAACCAAAACGAAGCTATTTTATATAAAAGAAGAGAAGTTCTGTGTAAGGATTAGAAGAGTGGATGGAATGAGCTGAATCGATTATATATATATATTAAAAATTGTTTTAGGGTAAATTTAAGTAAAAAAATAATTGTCGGAGTATGTGTAAAAGTTAAACAGTCAATGAAATTGTCGTAAAGCTAGCCCAGCCTCAATCTCGTTTCTTAATATATTACAGAAGCAGCCTGAAAGATGATTAATTAAAAAAAATGTTTTTATGAAACCTTACCATTTCAGAAATCTTGAATAATTTCTTTGTTCTTTGTTCTTTAATTTCATTACCTAAGATTGTTGGCTCTTTGTGCACAGAAAAAAATCGACTTACGCATCTTTTTTTTCCCTTTTAAAATGTTAAAATAAGCTTTCAAGGGGAAAAATATATCCAGAAAAATGGAAAAACAAAATTATAGAAATTTTTGATAGTTTATCCTTATAAGATTATTGCACCAAAATATTGAATTGATATTTGTAGAAATAAGTAACAGCATAATATGTTAAGTTGTAATGAACAACTTGAATTCTACTAACATAGACCTAATTACAGCGAACCAAATGTTCTATTCCAGCTCATGATAAAATGGCGCAACTTTAAAGTACCTTTTTTTCAAAAAATATTGAATCAATTTTTAATTTTTTTGCTATGTTCGCCCAGTTGTGGCAAATATCTTAGCATAAAAATTTATTATAAAATTTCTCAATGAGTCGAGTCAAATGAGACTTCGGAAAAATCAATACTTAAGATTTTTTCACTGAAAATTATCTTAAATATACCTGAAACTGTATAAATGATACTTTCCCTTCTCTCCTCTGTTCCCTTATTTAAGAGAAGGGGGGGTGATTTAAGGGAAAGAATTGAATAACTAGTAAATATGGCTAATAGATGCATTGTTACCGCTGTACTTATGCTTTCTTGCTAAATCGAATAAGACCTATCTTGAGACGATAGGACTAATTGTTTAGAAGTTAAAAACTTTTTATGTTAAAGTAAGTACAAATGTGTACTTGTACCTGCTAGCGCATCTGATGTTGCTATCTAAATAAAATTGTTTCCTATTTATTGTTAAAACGGAATGAGACCATGCACAAGTCAGTATAAAACAATAGTTCATAAGTTACAAGAGTTCCTGCGCATAAAAAGTACTTCGTTTGGCAGGTATTTGTGTGCACTTTACAGTGCTATCCAGGAACTATCTGAACATGTAAGGTATATTTTGTGAGGTAATTTTCGTTACAAAACAGGAATCGTTAAGATAAATAGTATAATCGAATGGGGCCAAACATGAATCAAAAGGTTTCATAAAAGTTAAAATGTTTTTTTTTCTCCTTCGAATGACTGGCACTATTTTTTAATTGCACTTATTATGAAGAAATCAATGTAATATAAATCCTAACAACTCACTAAAGTATAAAGCATTTCATCGGAAAATGTACTTTTGATGGAAAGACTGTGTACATAAGTAATGTCAATAGTAGACATACAAACTTTAAAAACTTGTGAATAGCTTCATTCAATTTGGCGTTAAGAAATAGATATTAAACAATGTCTACTTGTTTAGAAAGCAATATCAGATGCGTCAATAGGTTTTGTACACAAAACGCTTACAATTTCTTATCTCTTGGTTCTATCATCCTGAAAATGGTCTCATCCGATTTAGCGTGAAAAATTAATCGGAATAAAAAGAAGAAATTAAATTCTTTTAATTATCTCCATTTCCCTGAAGGCGTACACTGTAAAAACCTCAGGATCAAATTGCAGGAAAAAGTACCAGAACTCAAGGTGCCGGTAGTTTTTACCCTAAAATCCAATTTTACCGGAAAATGTTATAGAAGAAAAAAATCTGATACATCGTAATTTTTAGAGTAATAATTACCGTAAAATCACCGAATACCTTTCATTGCTGTAAATGTTACTGTAAACCTTACGGTATAATATTTTACAGTAAAAATGAATTTTGTGGAAGATGCTCACAAAGTACCGGTACTTTATACCGTAATTTGATCTAGAATTGTTTACAGCGTAGGAGATTATTCAGGTATCCTTATAATGACTTGGTAAAGCTTTATTTATCAAAATATATCTTCTTGGTAATTCCGTAGAAGCATGGTAATTCCTTTATTATTACTGTTTCTGTTTGTTATAAACAGGACTAAATTGTTTTTAGCCGGAGAAAAAAAACCGTAACAAAAGCGACTTTCTCTTTTTTTTTGAAGTTAAGTTTATGTAGAACTCTGTAAATGTTTCTTTAAGAAAACTGACATAAACCGACAGTTATATTTTCTTATATTTTTGATGCTATTTTGTTCTTCAAAAGTACTTAAGATATAAATAAATAATTCACTTTCAGATTTAGGTTTCTCTTTAAATTTTATTTTAAACTTTATTTAATTAAAAAAAATATTTTTCCGTGGATTAAAGGGTAAATGACCGATTGAGCATGCATTTATTCGCGTGAATAATTAGAATTACTTACGGCCTTTTGTTGGCAACCAAGTGGCAGCAGCAATTAGAACTAAAGGTATGAGGAAGCTTAAGACTCTGTCTCTACCTGAAAAATAAATAAAGACACATCAACGAAAACTTATTACGATTTGTTTTATATTTCCAGTTTATAATTGCTGAAATACTTTTTTTATCCAGTTGCTCGAACATTTTGAAGAATTATTTTTATTCATTTATTTACCGATGGAAGCATTTTCAAACGCTATAAAAATTATTATTATCTAGATTTTACCATACGCAACATACAATAACAATGATCATGTAGATTATTTATGATGTGAACTTACTTTTTACTCAAATACTCAATGAAATTTCCAATCACATTAAAGGATAGAATTATTTACCGACTTCTTAAATCGTAACTTCAAAATTGAAGTTACATTTATAATATATATATTGAATTAAATTAAACTCGGTAAGCCTTTGTTCAAATGAAGACAGAATCGGCTTTATTTCATCGAATATAAATGATAGTATGTTACCTGATTAAGAACGTCATTCACTTCAAAAATATATAAATTAAAAATAACTGTCGATATATTTCAAGCGCTCAAAGAGAGACTCCTATTTTCAAGACTTACCTGACCTAAATGAGAAGAAGCAAAAAATAATTTGAAATATAAAACATAAAGTCGCTGATGAAAGATGAAAAAAAAAATAAAGGTGAGAAATTAAACTCGAAAACCACAGTAGCCGAGAGAGAGAGAAAAAAAGATGAAAAATAGAACAGGAAAAGCACAGTGGCCGAGAGAAGCAAATCAGAGTAAATGCTATGGTGAGGTAATGAGGAACTAATGCCGTTAACAAGGGAATCAGCATTCATATGAATAAAACAAAATTCCAGGGCATCAAGCTGAGCTAAAGTGACTGAACGGGAAATAAGGCTGGCATTGTCGAAATTGAATTTATTCCCAAGATTCCAACAATGTGCAGCGAGTGATGATTTCTCGTATTTTTGATAACGGACGCATCTATCGTGTTGATTAAGTCTAAATTTTAAAGTGCGCCTAATTTGTCCGCTGTAGCTAAGGTTGCACTGACAAGGAGTGCCCTAAAGATTATCAAAGGACTTTTAAAAGATGAACAGGCCTAAAAAGACTTTAAAACCAAAACGAAGCTATTTTATATAAAAGAAGAGAAGTTCTGTGTAAGGATTAGAAGAGTGGATGGAATGAGCTGAATCGATTATAGAAGAGCAAGCAAAGCGGAAGTTCAGAAGAAAAGCACGGAAAACAACAGTATAAAATGCATTAATTTTGATGATATTTAGGGTGACTAGAAGGAGTGAGGCAAATGTTTACGAGAGATGGAAAAAGGGTAACAAAAAGATCTAAAATAGGTAAAGTAAAATTAATTTCCGCATCTATAATAAATTGAATGTTGGGGTCAACCGAGTTGACAATAAAAAGTAATTCTTGGAAATCAACGTCTACTATGAAAAACGTACTGTCAACATACCTTTTTTCACATTTGAACAATCTAAAATTTTTTTTCTCGAAGCAATGCATGTCACAAAGAATGGGAATTGCACATTTATTGCCTCAATTTTCTTATAGAAATTAACTTTGAATTATAAAGTATTTTGCTTAATACATGAATTGAAAAGGAAGAAAATATCTTCAATTTCAATAAAAAGAATAGTGACAACAATCATTTTAAATGCTCAATAAGACTAGAAATGGGTAATAAGAAAAGAGAGTTTTGTTTGAGGGGTTTGAAAACAAAATTATGAGAATTTTTAACAGTATGAATATAGTTGGAAGCTGGAGGTGAGATGATACGCGCTAAAAAGTTGGCAAGTTTTTAGAGAAATAATAATTGTATTAATAAATTTATGATTTTCAGCCACCCCTATCGTCGAAGTGGTGTTTGATATTTGGAAGCAAAATAGATAAATACAAAAACTTGTTTTTAATTCATTGTCAGTTCCGCGACACGGTACTTTTTCGCATTCTGTTCTGACAACGCTGCCGTTAAAAAACAGACTTGAATCATCTTAAGAGAGGATATTCCTTCGTTCTCTTTTTGTTGTAAATAATCAATTTTGTGTTCAATTCAAATGATTTGAAAACAAATTTCTAATGTAGATACGAAATATTTTCCGATGCCTAATCGACAACTACTATTTTTGTCACTTTTTCACTAGAATAAAAATCTATATGAACTATTCATTCAGAAATGTGATGAGTGCATTTTAAGCAGAACGATGAAGACGCATTCAGTAGAAATTGTATTTTATCATTCTTTGAGATTTTAACTTTTTTATTGCAGTTCATTTTCTGATAGAAATATTTTAAATAGTGTTACAAGAACTATTGCTAAATGCGGAATAATGACGTCACGTGAAAATTATGAATTGAATCCATCAAACAATTAAAACCCATTCGACATTAAACGATTAACTCCTCAAACGTTGAAGATATTTGAATCATTAGAAAATTTCTAACTGTAAGAAAAACTTTTGTTTGTGATATTTATCTCACCACAGTAAACAAAACCTATAAAAATTTTTTATTTTGGACCAAATGAGGCGTTAAAGGCATTCTTTTACTTACTGCATGATTTCTTTCGTGTGAATTTAATTCAGCTCAATCAAGTTAGAATTGAAAAAAGTTTTATTTTCACTTTTTTTTAAATAAGCAACCCTTAAATCAAAATATCCATGAAATTGTCAGGATCTGAGAACTACAGAAACAGCGAGCCACTTTTCTAATGTCTAGGATGAGTAGTTTAGATGGTAAATTATTATTATTATTATTATTGAAAAAGCCGCCACTTCCCTCGTCTGCTTTAAACTTATGCAATTTTCTTTTTTTCTTTTTGTGTGCTTTCTTTCTTAATGGAATTCTAAACTCTGTCAAGGACTTTTAGACCACCCTGCATCAAAAAACAGACAGATATTTTTTTTATTTATTTTTAAAATTATTCGTAGAGAATTTGTAATAGTGGAAAATTACTTAAAGAAAGAGGCAAAATAGAAGACCGACCACCCTAATATAACTAAAAATCTGTTATAGAAGTTTTATACATTTTTATTTAACATTATTTTCGTTAAACATTTTTCGCTCAAACATCATACAATAAATTGTTTGTAGTTTTTAATTTCACTATGACGATTGTTTAAAACAAATTGAAATTATATTAAACGTGATACACAGTGTGTAAAGGAACAAAACATGGAAATAACTTTTGATCCACTGCTTGAATTTAAATTAGTTAACAAAATCATTAACAGTAACTTGCTTTCCCCGAATATTTCTTTTTCGATGGTTTTGTTTGCTTGTTTTGTTTTCCTTACAATTTAGTTAGGAAAGAGGTCGGTTAAGCTTACTTTTGCGCATTTCTCTTAAGATCTATTAAGTTAACCAAAAAATATCTTCACGACATAGTTAAACTAACGTATCTAAATTCGTAATTCCATGCAAAAGTTTTTTTTAAAAATTATTTATAACTTAATATTATTTACTTTAGAAATATGTTTCTTTCATTAATTATAATTCACTTTATATAAGCATATAATTCAACAGTCCTAAGTCTTAATATAGTGTTATCAATAATAAAAAGTATTGAAATATTAACATGTTGACAAAAAATATTGCTGTTTACTTTATCTGATTGTTTCAAATATTGGTTAAAATGGATGGTTTATAAAATTTCTTTTCCCTTGACATTCATTTTTCAGCAGTAGTCAACAGAATTTCAAAGCATATGAAAGAGGTGTATATATTTTTTATTTTACTTATCTTTGTGATGGGGTTTAGCTGGCTAGTTTTCGAAAGTATTAAGAAATAATCACGTTATAAAATTTCAAAATCAGATAATTAGTAACATCATTGAATGAGTTAAAGTATCTGATCAACCTATGTATATCGTTCATAATTCTATAAACTTTAGATACATCAATCCTAAAATCTAGGAGTGAAAGTGGAAATTTTTTTTCCCTCGTTAAAATGTATTCAGTAAAAGAGAAAGATTTTTAAAGCCGTTTTTAACGCTATATTTTATCAATAGTCATGAAGTTTTATTTTGCTACCTTCTAAGGACCAATGAATGAAAGAGTTTTTTACTTCGATAAGGATTTGAAAAAAAAGCCGTACAATGGCCCGGAAAAGAAAATAATGCATCGCAGAAAGGCACTAACTCGAAGGGTATAACTCGTACTCGTCAAGCACACCTCTGCATATTTTTTAAATATATATTTTCTACATATACTCTTCATAATTTTTAAGTAGTTCAAAATCCCTTTGATGCCTTAGCGATTGTAGTTCGCAAGTACAAGTATCTTACATAGATAACCCCATTTACTTTTTAATTGGTTAGAATAGCATTTTTTTAAAACTTGAGTGCGCAGTTATTTATCTAATACTTTGAAATTTTTGTTTTGAAGTTTCATACGCAGCTTATGCGAATCCAGACTATCAGAAAAAGAATTTATCATCAGTATCCATTACTAACACAAAAGTTTCTTGTTTTTGCTTGATAGTTTTCTCCAAATTTTTTGCTTGAATAGTGGTTTATGACACTTTATTTTTTGATAATTATGTAAACGCTAGTTCAATTATTGACAATCCTAATACTCTTTTTCTGTTTCACTCTGTAAAATGCAAAATTTTTTGATTCGACTGCTTAATTGAGTTGTTTTATTTATCTTCATTACATAAAAATTCAATTCACTAAATACCTTTTGGTTTTAAACAAGGTGACAAATGGTCTGCGTTCTCTGTATCAACTTATTTTATCAAATATGTTGCAGTAAAAAAATTATTATAATCTGATCGAACTGTACAAATTTCATATCAGCAAACTCGGCGTTTAGGAACTAGAGCTAAACATTATAATTATATTTATTTCATTTAACGATCAGATCATTGATCATTAGATTCTCAGATCGTTAATTGCTTCGACGAAATAATTTAGCCCGTTGTTAAATCACCAGTTTTGTATATTTATGGAAATCAACATTATATTAAATCATTTTCATTCCTTGAGTATATGTATTTAATCTTAAAACTCTGTTCAGTGATAAATATGATAGCAAAACTAAACAAAGCAACCTTGGCTAATCCCAAGATTACAGCAAATATCTAACTGGTTGTCAATGTGAAAATAGGTGCTGACTCATAGACTCAACAACTATTGGTTGTTGAGGCAACCAATAGTTGCCTCAACAAAACCATTAGTTCACCAACAAAACCAGTAGTTCACCAACAAAACCAATAATAGACTATTAACGACTAATATTTCTTTTACTCTGAAAACTGCATTATTTAATTCATAAATAGATAAATGTACATTAAAAACCATTCAATTTTGGATACTTGAAACGTAAAATGAAAGCAGAATCAGAGTAATATATGTATAACAACAACAATAATTTGTCAAGGAATATATTATACTTAGTTTTCTTACTTATTTATTTTTTAAACATTGTTGGCTTACTTGACATAAATCGTTATTTTTGTTCAAATATAAATAAATATCATGCATTTTATTTTTTGTGTTTAAATTGTATAATTCAAGTAAATATTTTCTAGCTTAACTATTTATAGCATAAATATTTTATAGCAGGTAACACTGATGTATTATATTTTAAAAAAACTCTGTAAATAACCCAAATATAAAAAGCTCATAAATAAATTTGATATGAAAATTTCATAAATTAAATTGATGTAAAATTTGTGTAAACTTAATCATTGTAAAGAAATATATAAATTCATTTTAGATAAAGTTGTAGGTTAATAAACTTTGTATTATAAAAGAAAAAAAATCTTGTTGACCAATTTGATAGGAAAGTTTTCTTAATTGAATAGATACAAAAATTTTAAAAACCAAAGCAGAATACAAACTTTATCATTTATTTAAATTTAAAAGTTTTATATTAAGCTAGTATAGTAATTTCACAAACTAAAGAAAACAAAACACACAAACTTCACGAAGTAAAGAAAACGTTTTATAAGCAAAACTGAAAAAAAAAATTTATTAAAAGAAATTCTTAAATGCAAAATTGATAAAATAAAAAACATTTCATAAACAAAATTGGTATTGTAATTAAATGATATTTTTAAAAGAAAAAAGAAATCTACTCACTGTTGTGAAGCATATTTGAAACAATAAATTCCAAAACAAAGTAAAAAATAAGTTATCTCAGAGGTTACTCAAATAGAGAGCAACCACCATTCCTTGCCAAAACCGACCTTTCGAATGGCTTTAAAAAATGTTCTCTCTTAAAGAGAAGATGAAGATGAAAATCCAGTGAGTGACTCACGGGTGCTCCCTTATGACACAAAAAACCAGTAGCACTCTTCTCCCCTCCTTGGTCAAACACTTCAGATACTCAACTGCTGGTAATAACAAAACCTGTCTTAGCGTTCATGCATCTCGTAAAGGGTTTTTATAGGCAGGAAAAGGAGGGGAAGAGAGTGAGATTTGAACCACCCCCAGCTTGCTTTTCATTGGGCATTTGCATTTTAGATCTATTATTAAAGAACTTCATTTAAGAGATCCGGGTGCATAGTGTTCATAGTCTTTTTCCAACATAATAGTATTCGCTTCAAAAGAATATATAAAAGTTTTATATAAAACAATAAACGCGAAGAAAATTACGAAAAACAATTGGTTTTATTAAAACATAGAATAAAAAAATGGCATTTATTACAATAAAAATGTATTAATATAAAACTTAAAAAATCGGAAAACTTTTAAAAAAGACTTGCAAGGTGCGCCCATTATCGTCAATAAGGCATATTTTCCCCTTAGATTTATATAATAATCATTTCACAATCACTTTACACACACACACACACACACATATATATATATATATATATATATAGCTCCATTCTGCTCTAGTTGAAAATCTCTACACTCATTCGCAAAGATGAAGCTCTTGAATTATTTATTGGCCTTCAAGCAAAGATACTATTTAATAATTTTACTAAGAGTAAATCTTGGACGAACATAAATGTGACGCAAAAATATCCTGAAAATTTCTAATCAAGCATTACTAATATAGTCAAGCTTCATCCAATACAATACTTCTCATTAATTTATGTAAAAGTTTGATTTTGTCAGTATATTTTGTTTGATTTTGTCAGAAAATTCCATGTTAAAAAACATGGAATTTTCATTTATTTATTATCATTTTTGTATAGAGAGGTCGATAAGAGAATTATGAAATTTTTGAGGGTCGATGGTCAAAAAAGTTTGGCTGTCTCTGGTCTAGAGGGATAAAACAATTAATAAAAGGATAAATCTTAAGTTTTATCATTTTTTTTCCATTTAGTTAGTTTAAAACCACTAGTAAAAATGCTGTTCTTATTGCAAATGGTTAAAACAAATACAATGAGAAGCATGCTTTCCCAATTCCACTAATTCAAATCTACTCATATTTTCTTGTTTTCTCTTGGGAGAAATTGTAACCGCACTTAAGGAAGTCATAAATATTCACTAAAATGTTGGAATCTGCTTAGACGCAATTTAGTTCGCTTAGTAAGCATTAAACTGCGCAAAATCTTGATTGTTCAGACTAGAATGCTCTATTTAAATTGAGAGTAGTTCATCAAAGTTCTTGCAGAACTTTGTAATACCACATGAATGATGGCTTCTGAGCTTTTAAGAGAATTAGAAAAGTTAAAATCACTTATAAAACTCGTATATTTCCTGTAATTATTTCAGATTCTCCGAATTCGGATGTTATCATTCTCTGGTATTGTTTATAATCGCATTTAATGTTAAATGCTGGGGCAAAGACAGATTTATTGAAGATATTAGGCAATTTAATTGCATTATTATTTAACGCTATCAAATACATCAAAAATACTCCAACGTGCCCCTTAAATCGTCGTTTTTATTATTATTATTTTTTTTAGTTTGAAATTTACCTTCTTTTTTTTATTTCAAAGGCTAAGCTAAAAATATGTTATGCATAAAAAATTATTCATTTATTACGCATCTGAATAATTTATTATTATACAAAATATTAATAAATTGCATTAATTGTTTTAATTGTTATAATAATGACGCAATCAGTTACAAATTTGGCAAAAAAAATTATTTTAAAGATAAATAATATCTGTTGCCAAGCAGCACATAGAATCTTTTACAGTACTATAATATACTTAAATACATATCAATACAATCAATATTTTATGCTGATTTTCAACATAGCAAGGATAAAATATTTTCTATCATTTACAAAATTTTGGAATACTTAGTTCTGAGAATAAATTGAAAATGGAAATTAAAATTTTATTTCCCTAATTTAAGAATAACATTATCGCTTAAACGTGTGCTATGTTTTATGAAAACTCCATAGTATTTTTCCATTAAAATAGTTTTTCGTCAAACACTATTTCTTAAGGAAAGAAACAAAATTTTCGTTAAATCTTTCTTTTTTTAATATATTTTTCCCTAGTAGATTAAAAAATCAAAAGCCCTAATTCGTTTAAACAAATATTACTATATGCATCATTAAGCTATTGAGTTCATGAATTATTTATACATTCTTAAATATATAAATATTTGTGGAAAAATGAAATGGTTTTTTTTTACTGTTCTATTGCAGTTTAAAAACTTTGCATTAAGGATAAAATGAGTACCTTTTTTATTATCTTAATGACTTANACTCTAGGGATAACTGGCATTTCGATAATAGTTTTAAATTCTTGTAAATTCACTGCAAAAACTGAGGAAACTTATTATAAAAAATAACAAATGTCTTAGAATATCTCGCAAAAAGAAATGCTCCAATATTAGTTAGAGCTAGTACGGCCAAACGTTCCGTTCTTGAAGTAAAAGTGCGAGGTTTGCGCCAAAGTGACGTCACTAGAGAAAATCGGAGGATTTTGCGCGGCGAAAGCTACTTCAAAGGAGTGAACCAGCCCTTCTATTCTCTTTAGCCCTGCTATCCACTGCTCGCTTCACTCAAAAATCCCAACGATTGCAACAGTTATTTTTTTCTTCATTTCTTGAAGGTTACAAAAATTTTATTCTTCAGATTGAATTCCCGATAATATGGTGATAAAATTTAATCCCCGACAGTTATTTAAATAATTTTGCATGATTAATAATGCAATCTCATCTGGGATTTCACTTCTTAAAATTTCTATTCAAATTTTTGTTTTTAAAGAAATCTTTAAACTTTATTTCTCCAAAGAGATCATTTAGAAATACTGGGGGAAATTAATTCCTTACAATTTTAAGAAATTTTTTATTCGTTATTTTAATTGCATACGTTGATTTGATACAGATTTACGCAAAACTTATAATAAAAGTAAATATAACTTATTTACTGTTTAATAATTCTAAAGCGGGTGATATGTTTAGAAAAATACGTTTATCATAGAATGTTACATAATAAAGTAATATCATAGGATTACTTTATTACAAAGAAACACAGCTTCCAGTTTTAAGCCTTTCATTTGGAATAATAATCATATTAATAAAAGTTAGAATGGATGATTAATAAATACTAAAAGTACCTTTAAATTATGGATAAAAATATTTTAGTGATAAGCAATATTATGATATTTATTGATTTTATTGATAAACAGTATAACAACTGTTATTAACTTTATGCTGATTAAAAATCAAAGGAAATTAAAAAACTTCCTCTGTTAGAAGAGATTGAACGAACCAGTAATTTGATTTATATATATATATACACTACAGCAGCAAAGTTACACCAAATTATCATGATAATAATCTGCACACATAAAAAGCGTAATCAACTGCCTTTTTAAATCCTACTAATAGTGCAAAATTATCCATTTCAAATTTAATTACATGATAATTTGGTGATCTGGAACAAAAATATGGATCTAAAAACTGGTATGATTCAAATAAGGTAATCTAATCCTTATTAATGTTGAAGAATGATATATATATATATATATATATAATAACAGGGCTACATCCCAGTTATGATTGTTGTATTCACCTTTAATAATTCAGTCGTCAGCCATAATAAGTTCTCAAAAGGTTTATTTAAAGGTAGGTTGGTGGTTATAACAGTTCACATCCACACTCCACTAGGGAGGGGATGTGGACAAAACTCCGGATGGTTCCGGCAGTTCTTTTTGGAGCACGTTAATCAGCAAGAGACATGCGAAAACCATCGGTCCCGCATTAAATACTAACAGAGAATGATGTAAACCGGTTCCAGTCGTACNATTAATTTTAAATTGCTCAAAAAATTTTGTTTAGTTTTATTGAATATTTTTAAAGTTACAGTAAAAAAAAGTAAGACAAAAAAAATAATTTCTTTTATAAAAATGTCTATAGTTTTATGAAAGATAGTTTTATGAAATTTTTTGCAGTTATTAAAAATAACAACCAAAGTAATCGGTATAAGTTATTATTTTTTTGCTTGATTACTTGGCAAAGGGAGTTCAAAAATACTTGTTTTATTTCGTCGCAATTTGTTGTCGATCCCTGAAACCCATAAAATTTTGAACCTTATGGCTAAGTATAAAGAATTGCATATATATAT